AAAAATGAAAAATGAAAAATGAAAAAAGCTTGAGAATATGTGTTACAGACCAAATGATGAAAATTACTAGTTGTGACCAAATAATCAATGAAATTTGCAAAGTGAATCTGAAATCTAAAATGTTGAGAAGCTGAAAAAAAAAAGAGACGGTAGCTTGAGAATCCTATTACCATAATAAAAGGACATTTGGTAGAGATTTCATACATTACATTATTGCATTTCTTACATTGTATGCATCATATCCATTTCATATGTTGCATTCATATTTTTCATGAGAAAAGAAAACTTTGATCTAAAAAGAAAACTTTGATATGGAAATCAAACAAGATTTTACCTCAAGATATATTTACTAAAACTTTTGAAGTATTAATCTTAAAAACCTCCAGGTACATCTTCTAAACTTTTAAACTCTTTTTAAAGTCCTCCAAGTAAGATTCATAAATTTTTTGAGCTAAATCTATTTTATGAGTCAAGATTTATAAGACCTCTAGGTATAATCTTTAAGCCCTCTAGGTAAGATTCGTAAGTCTTTCAAGCTAAATTTGTTTTTTAAGTCAAGATTTGTCAAACCTTCGAGCAAAATCTCTAAATCTTTTGGGTAAAATTTATAAGTCTTCCTAGTTGAATCTATTTTAAAGTTGAGATTTGTATGAATTCCGAGCAAAAATTATAAGACCTTCGGGTATGATCTTTAAAACCTCAGATATCCATTCAGTTTTTTAAAATTGTTAAGTTTATGTTGAGAAGAGCCCATTTTTTAATTCATTTTTTTAAAGTTATCGAGCCTCTGGTTAGAGGAACCCATTTCTTATTTTTAAAGTTATCGAACCTCTGGTTAGATGAGCCTATTTCCTGTTTCAAAGTTTTTAAAGTTATAGAGCCTGTAGTTAAAGGAGCCGATTTCCTAATTTAAAGTTTTTAAAATTGTTGAGCCTTTGTTTAGAGGAGCCCATTTTCTAATTCATTGTTTTAAAATTGCATGTCTTTATTTAAAAAATCCTTTTTAAAATTACTTAAGTTGAATTGGATGTAATGGTTGTTTATGTCTTTGCATCATTTATATTTCACAGAAATGTGCAAGTAAGGGTAACTTCAAATACCCCATTCTGTCTGAGTGTTTTAATTAAATTGTTTTAGGGTTAATTATTGAATTTTCAAATTCAATTTTTGCTTATTGGGCTTTGAATTGATTAATTCAATTATTGATTAGGCTTTGAGTCCAAGTATAGCATTTTTATCTTATTTTATTAAAAAAAAAGTGATTAAAATCTAAAAAATCATAGAAAGCTTGACATTAATCTCAAATTAAGTCATGAGATTTTAACAAAGGGAAATCAATGTTAGATTGAATGATTTTAGGGATTTTAATGAAAAAGGAAAGTCATAAATCAAATTAATCACAGAAGATCAAATTGATGATTTAGTTGAATTAATTCTTCCAAAATTAAAAGGAATTCAATCCCCATACAAGCTTCAATTGATCAAATCACATAGAGGAAAATGATATAAAAAATATACAAAGATTATAGAGGAATTGTTTAAATAAGGGATTACAGTGTTTTGGTCTTATTTTGGTTTTGGGATTAGATTTTTGTTTTGGGATTGATTTAATCAATTTTTGGGTTTTTGGAATAGGTTTTTAATTTTTGGGTTTGATTTACTTTTCTATTGGGTTTTATTGGGTTCTATTGGGTTCCTGGAGATTTATGGGTTTGGATTTAAAATTTTGGAATTTTTTTAGAAACTTTATAGAAAACAGTGAATTTTTCGATAATCTTTGAAGTTTTCAAAGATTTTTCTGGCTAAAAATGTAGATACCAATAGGTTTTTTTCAAAAATCGACAAGATTCAACTAGTGTTCATCTTTCTTTTAAAGAAAGAAGCAAAGAAAAATAGGCTAAAGCGAAAGAGGCCAAGGTAGTTCGAGGAAAAAGGAAAATTTTTTTAGCTTTTATAGGGAAACAAAATGACATTATTTTCACCAAGCAGGATCCGCATGTAACTTTAGTAGAATCTTCGATAAACTCAGTTACAACCTGACCCGATCATAGGTTTTTTTTTCTTTTTATTTTTTGATTTTGATTTTTTCTTGCATTTTAATTTTGTTTTTATTTTTCTTATTTAATTGTAATGAGTTAATTAAGATAAGAAAAAAATAAACATAATAAAGGAAAAACTTTGACATTAACTGTAATATATATTTTGCAAGATTTTATTTTATATTTATTGCATGACATGATTTTATATTTATTGCATGATAATTATATTTAATTTTATTGCATGATTATTAATATATTTAATTGCATGATATGATTATATATTTATTCGTATGATTATATTTGATTTCATGATTATATATCATTTTATTTGTGTGATTTATATTTGCATGATTAATTAATATTTGCATGATATTTTATATTTTGCATGATATTTCATTATATGATTATATTATTATTGCATGATAATTTTTGTTTAATTTAATTGATTTTTTCTCAAACAAAAAAATTTTCAAAAATAAATTTCCAATCTTACTAAATTATTGAAGGATTTTTCATAGATTTAAATTTTTTATTAATTTTACCAAACTATTAGAGAATTTCATAACTTAATATTTTATGAAAAAAATAGTTTTCATAAAATTTTACCAACATATTGTAGGATAATTTTTTACAGAAAATCTTACCAACATATTAGAAGATATTTCTAAAAATAAATTATTTTTATAAAACTATTAAAGAATTTCATAACTTAATATTTTATGAAAAAAATAGTTTTCATAGAATTTTACCAACATATTGTAGGATAATTTTTTATAGAAAATCTTACCAACATATCAGAAGATATTTCTAAAAATAAATTATTTTTATTAATAATACCAAATTATTAGAGAATTTCATAACTTAATATTTTATGAAAAAAATAGTTTTCATAAAATTTTACCAACATATTGTAGGATAATTTTTTACGGAAAATCTTACCAACATATTAGAAGATATTTCTAAAAATAAATTATTTTTATAAAAATTAGATTTTGAATTTTCGATGATGAAATTACTAAAAGCATTGAAAATAACAATTTCTATGTAAATTCTTAAGTGAGAAAATCTTTTCTAAATTTCATCAACATATTGAAGAATTTATATAAGAATTTTCGATACTAAGATTTTAAATCTTGCTATCACAAATAAAAGTTTTTACAAACAAATTAAATAAATCTGACGATAGCGCATTTTTCAAACCTGACAAATCATCTCTTTAAATACTCCTAAAGTAAGAAAATATTCATAAATTATTACCAACATATTGGAGTAATTTAAGAAAAATTTTTAATATTAAATTATTTGGTAAATTATAAATATGTTTTAAGGTTTAGATAATTTAAAATCAAATTGATACCATCCTTTGGATTGGTGCTATAAAGTGTTATAAGCTTTCTTACGTATAACCCACTTCTAAACCTAAAATTTGATTTTGTAAACTAAAATTTATCATTTAAAAATACTTAAATCAAATTTTAAACTTCTTTTTAAAATAGGACAGATTCAATTAAGTGATAAATCGTACCTAAATAAAAAATATTAGTAACAACTCTTTAAATTTATGTCTAGCAATAGGCTTATGAATCTATACGTTATGACACAACTAATAAAAGAAAAAGACACAACTAATAAAAGAAAAATTTTGTGCGAAAGTAAAATTAACTAGAAAGAATTAATAAATTTTATTTTAAAAAAGAAAAAATAAATAAATTTAATAATTTGTTAAAATCAAAGAAAAATAAGAGGTTTTAAAAAATAGTACAAGAGAATAATAATAATAATAATAATAATAATAATAATAATAATAATAATAATAATATATCTATAAATTATCCAAAAAATACTACTAATAAATTTTGAAAACTAATATCTAGTTTTTTATCCTTACAAATGTAATTTATTCACTTGCTTTTGGAAAAAAAATAGTTTGTTGATTTAAAAATTAAAGGTGATAATGGTTCAAATTGAATTCGGTTTGATTTTTTTTAATATTACAAAATATTATAAATTTTAAAATTCGATTTGAATAGACCCTTTATACATTTTAGTCTGAATCGAATTAAATTGAATTTTATTAATTTGATTCAATTTGATTTATTGATTTTTGAAATTTATTTCTTTGTTTTTTTTTATATATTATTTTAATATAAAATTTAATATATTTAAATATATTTTGATATAAAATTATTATTTTTATTTTATAAAAATTTAAAAAATATATAAAAACTAATAAAAATATATAATTTAGTTTAATTTGATTTAAAAATTTTTTTTTATCCCTTGATCTAAAATCCAATTTGAATTTAATATATATATTTAATGTTTGAACTTAATTTGAATCGAATAAAAAAAATCGATCCAAATCAAATTGAATATTTTAATAATTTTTACTATTTTTGATTTTCTTTTCATTCCTATTAAAAATTAAGTTTTTAAAAATCACATAAAAAACAAAATATTATAAAAAACATGTCTTAGAATTTACACTCCTATTATTGCAAAAACTTAAATAAAGTTTTTTAGGTGAAGTTTATGCATTTTTTATTAAAAATTAAAATTAAAAATTAAAATAAATAAATTAAAAGATCTCGTTATATAAATTAAATATACAAAATTTAATAAATTTTTAATAAATTTTAATATACTTTTTTAAATAAATATTTTTAGTAAAAATGTTAACTAAAATTTTATCATTAAATAAATAATGATAAAATTTAAATTATAAATAATATTTGTAATCATTTTTTTATATATTATTAATTTTTATATCAAATTTTATCAATTTAAATTTTTTATTGCAATTTTTATTAAAAATTTTATTATATTACTTTTAATAAAAAACTTTACAAGTAAAAATCTTCTTATAAAGTTATGCACCTTCCAACATGCCAAGCGTCGTTTAATTTCTAGCTTGTGTCTAAAACGAGAATAAAGAATATTACCAGGTTTGTCTCCGCTAGTCACGTACCTCCGAATTCTCCTATTCTCGTCGCCTTAGCATTCCCTTTCGCTAACCAAAAGCGCGTGTTGCGTGAGTCCATGAAATAATAACACCACGAGTGTCTCGCGTTCTCCGCTTCCTACTCTTTCTTGCTAACCAAGTGGCATTTTCGTGATTCCGTTGAATCTCATCCACCTTAATTCACTGTCCTCATTAAGCTAGCTTGGGCACATACTTTAATCCAAGAAATTGGCTAACCCTGTCCACTTCAATTCTCTCTCTTCCATTTTTTAATTAAAAAAAAAAGACTTACCAGTCTCTTTCTTTCTTCTCTTACCTGAACGTTGGTTTCTCTATTTCTTCCCTGTTACATGTCCAAAATTCCAAATTTACCATCCAAGTTCCATCAAAACACCCATCCTTACCCTCCATTTTCGTGCTCGCAGATTCCATAACACCATTCAAATGTCCTCTTCACTTTGATCAACAGCAAAAAAAATACACCAATTTTCTCCTCATGCGATGCGTAAATAGAAAGAAAGACAATGAAAAAGAGAGGAAGAAGAAGATAGATTTCATTGGTGATGGATTTGACGGAAGGAGTCGGGGGGAGCTCATCGCCTCCGAGAAGCTTCGGCAGCTTCAACAGCTACGATGTCAGAAACGACGTTTTCAATCGCTTAGTTGAAACCGGCCACGAAGAAGCTATCACTTAGATTCTTACTTCAATCGCTTGCCTGCTAGGTAAATTTTAATTGTTATACGAATACGTACTTTATGAAGAATTTAGGAATTTTTTTATATGATAGGTTAAAGCTGATGAAGTTGTTTGGTTTTTTGATTCAGTTATGGTCTTAATGTTAATATGGATAGAGTGGAAGATGTCTTGTTACATCAGAAACTGCTTGCATCAGCAAAGGATCCGGAGAAGCGGCCGGTTTATCATATCCGCTTCTTGGAGGTACTACTACTTCTTTGTTTTGCTTTAATAGTAAATGTTTAGGGTTTAAGGACACCCTTCGGTTTTGTACTTTTTTGTTGTCAAAACAGAAAAAATTGGAGATATCTGCTTTTACTTTAACTACTAGTTCATAAGTAGCGCCGTTTGTGGTCAACTTAATATGAATAGGCTGAAATTTGGAGTTTTGGCAATAGTGTTCATAATTCCAGCAAAGTGGTAGAAACTAAGATACAGGAAACGCAGTAGTGAGGCTTCTTATTTTTTGGAAAAATTTAATGTTACAACAAATATATATGTATATATATATATATATTTATATATATATATATAATTGTATTAATATGTTACTGATCTATAATCATTAAAAAAAGTGTGCTAGGAGCCAAATTTGTTGGGGAATTGGGCATAGATGGTGGATTTGTGGTTCAGGGTTTGAGGAAGATATGAATGTTGTTCAGAGGGGCACCAGAGCTGGGAAAAGTAGCTTTTAGTCTTTAATAATTAATAATGTAATGCCAATCATATCTTTTGCTGTGCAATTGATCCCTTATTTCCATAAGGAAACGAGAAATAGTTACTTATTAAAGAGTATTATTTATTAGTAAATTCATATATTAAAACTATTAGTTTTATTTGAGCAAGTATTATCAATTGCATTAAGTAGAAACCTGATGCATGAGGTGAAAAGAAGATTATTTGTAATTTTCCAGTTAATTTTTGTAAAAAATGTTTATCTATTAGTGAAGGGAAAAGAGTTTTAGAAAAAATTGCTTTGAAGAATATTACTTGGCAAATAACCTCTTACTGTGCCCTAATTTTGAGATAGCATGACCCTAGCATTAAGTAAAAGTTCTTTAGACATATTATATTGATTGTTTATGATTTTGTTCCTTTTCTTTCTTTTTCTCTTTTAATTTTATTTGTATATTGTCTATGTTATTACACTTATTATATACATGTAAAATTCCTCTTTACTATATTGTTAACATAGTGTCCTTGGTTTGATTGCAATATAGTGTAAACAAATTTGATAATGTCATTTATGTTATGCATATAATTATTTTTATTTTTATATAATTATCATTCAAATAAATCTTTTCAAAAAAATTATTAATAAATGACTTGTGGAGAAATATGTTATATTAGCCATGGAATGAATGTTGCGTCATGAAAAGAATACGGGGCCTACTGTGCTCATGCCAATAATCTATGTGTTGGAATATGGTGGTCATACAATTGTTTGCTTAGGAAAATGGGAAATTAAGAGGCAATTTCTTATTCTAAAGCTGGGTTCTACCTTTAAGACATGTGTCAAATGAATTTGCATCTAGAGGATTTTGAAGAACTCACTTTGATTTGAAGTCCTACTAAATATTCAAAATGTTCTGATGATATCACAACTAATTATAAGTGCTATTATATAATAGGAATTGTATATATTTTTTTCATTTCCACAATAGCTGAAGTGAATGAATATAAGCATAGGTTTTGTTTAGTGAATTTTGCCCGTGGTTGGGAAAGTTGATGATGTTCATTCCTGTTTCACGGCTTGCCAGAAAGGTTTATGTCTCTGCTTATTTGTCTTATACAACTATATACAGTTTGCAGTCATGCATCTTGGTGTGTGTATACATATGTTTTTTGGTTACTCGTTTGAAATTCTAAAATGCTTTAAATCAGCAATTCTCTCAAAAACAAAATATCATTTCTTATGGTTAAACATTATCTCGGACATCCATGATATTTGTGGTATTTTATTCAAACAATTTTGTGAAATATTCAATTGATGAATTTGTTACTTGATTTTTAAGTATCTTTTTCCTATGCTACTGCAATGTAATTATATAGTATATCTTATTCTCTTGCAGAGTTCACCGAAAGTCAATGGCTAAGAACAAACAAGGAAGAAGCTCGTTTTATATGTGGTTTTTTTTTCATTATTGATTTTGGAAAGTAAATGTAGTTGAACAAACTAGACTGCAATATTATAGTCAAATCACTGTTTCAAAATAATAATAACAAACCTTCAAGAATCATATGCTCTAAAGTATTTTATACTTTTGCACCAATGGTATCACCTTGAGTTTATTTTTGATATTTTCTTCATATGATGCATGATTTTCCTGCCTTGTTTTCTTCCTTTTAGGTGTTACCATGTAGAATCTTTTCACCAAAGCAGATGCTAATGATGACAAACAATATATAAATTCTTTTTCTGGCCAAAGGCCTTTTGATGATGGAGATAGTGAAAAAGTTGTACCATCACATAAAAGGTATCATATGTACTAACATTCCTAGTTCTATGTCCCTTTACCTTTTCAGTTTTTGATCCTAAATGATTTTTTTCTTTTCATTTTATGTGTTATGAGTTGTTTGTTTTCTTAATAAGTGTATTAATTACTACTCCATCACCTTCTGTATGTAGAAGCAGGGATCATCCAGTTGACTTTGAACCTTGCTCTAAGCTCGAGTACCCAAAGTTGGATGTCAGAAAGAATTCGAAGTGTGTAGAGGATACATATCTCATGGAGAACTTTTCCAAAAGGTACCTTGTTGAAGATTTGGTCGACCTAATTTTCCTTTCTTTGAAACTTCAGCAATATTTTTTTTTATCTATTTGTTAACGTGGCTATGTATGACGATATTTTCCCACTATTAGCCATTAGTACCTCTGTACTTTTGTGTGGATTGCTGGGGGGTGGGGGTGTGTGCATTTGGATCTTCCTTTTAGAGAACTTTTTGAAACTCAAATGAAATGGCCAAATGTCAATATTAAATACTAAATAGGCTATATTTTTGTGCTTTGGCCATTCGGCTTTGTACCTGCAACATTTATGAAACTGAATTTTGTTTTCTCTTCCTCTCACTTGGGTAAATACTTTTAGCTCAGCTCTGTATGACTTTTCCTTTTACTCACAATCATGTTTATGTATGATGGATTTCTGTGCTACTGGTATCATAACAGTACTTGTCTTCCCATTCTTATTTCTTGCCTTTTTTATGTTATTGATTTGATCCATTGTACAATCAAGGTTATATTGTTGTCATCGGTATTACAAAACTTGGCTGCAGGTCAACTTTTTCTAGATAATTATAAGATTGCCTAACTATGCATAATTACTTTGAAAGAGGTTCATTTGGAAGCATTTTGTTTTTTCTGGAGATGCTTATCTTCTCTCACTCTTTCTCTCTCCCCTCCCCTGCATTGACAATTCAAGCAGCCACTGTGTTTAATAATATATGAATATGTATGTTCCCATATTTAGTACTATACAGATATGCCCATCCAGAGTGCACATTTTAGAATGAGGCTGATAAATGCACCTTTGATGTATCAGTCATGGTTATGCCATATGCATGTGTGGGAACTGAGTTGGCTTTTGGTAAATGTTATGTAGGCAAGAGATTGTACATACTTCTATTCATGAAGTGATATTTTCTACCACTGACAGACCAAAGCTAATTGGTCAGGTATGTTTGACAACATATGTTCTCTTATTGTTGAGCCATTGCTTTTCATTTTAGAGTAAATTTATGCTTTGCACTTGTGGTCATTTTCAACTTTTTCAACTAAGACCATGCGTTATTCCTCTTGACACTTACCACCGTGTGGTTTCTACTATCATAGGGTTTAACATTAGTTCTTTCAACAACATGATAAAAATATCCTCATATTTAAAAGGCATTGTTTTTGTTAATACTTAACATGGTAACCCCCCTGTGATAATATAATGAAACCATGGGGTGCTATCTGTTAAGGAACAAGCTGCGAGGTGTTATGTGAAAGTGAGAAGCAGAAGGGTGCCAAGTCTAATGTATCCTTTATCTTTGTCACAGCTCTAGTCGTAATATCTACTTGTATCCTTATTGGGTGACTGAATTTTCTACTGATATCCCATATCATGTGCATTAAAGTTTGCACATGGTTTAGTCTCTATTTATGTATTCAACTTCTTTTCTACTCGAGATTCAGTTGATGTAAGGCTACCCATGATAAAAAAATTCAAAGCTGAGCTTGAAGTTGATCCTTTGCTTTCTTTGAGAACTGAAAAGCAGCTTATGATGCATAATTGACTAGTTTCTTATTTGGTGGGTTTAATTCATTAATGGAAAATTTGCAGTTTGTTATTCTATATATATGTTATTATGCTGTTGAATATTCCTATAGTTGTAATTGGCTCCTGAAACCCTGTTGTCATATCTGGTGGCTTGTAATAATGACATCCTGCTTAAGCTTCTTTCTTGGTATTGGCTGATAGATGCAGTTTATGCTTGTCATTAACTTCATTATCTTTATGGTGTTTAAACTCTCCCTCAGAACAGGAGCAATCGTTCCTCTTTACTGAACAATGTCAAATTTTGGTCTAAGAATAATATTGGAATAAATTTTTGGAAGACATGAAAAACAAAAAAAACTAATTTTTAGTATATTTAAGCAGCTTTTGGAGTTTTCAACATCATGATTTATCTTGACAACCTAGTTACATTTGAAATACTGACCAGCTGTCATTTTCTTCTAGCTTTCTGCGTTGCTTTCAGATATAGGACTTAACATTTGTTAAGCACACGTGTTCTCAACAACTGATGGCTACTCTGGATGTGTTTGTGGTAGATGGATGGCCTGTTGAGGTAGCCATTACATCATTAGATGTTTTGTTGTTATTACATCCTTGTATCTTTAGATTGTTTGGTAAGCCATAAGATGTAGCTCTAATAAGGAATTTTGCTTTACAGAAGATAATGTATCTTCTGCTAGTGTCAGGGATGCAGTTGCTTTAATGATAGTTCTGTTCTTTTGTTCATGAATTATTTTAAGCAATAAAAAATCTTTCTTTGATGCTGGAGCATTTGCTTTTTCTGGCAAGCCATTATTTTTTCGTCAGATCTAATTCATGGAAAAAGAACTCCAAATGCCCCACTATGCTGAGAAATGAAATGAATGGCTATTATTTCATGTTTCATGCTAAGGCTCTGTGCTGATGTCCTTTTTGTTCCTGCCTTGGGAAAGCTCTTGTTTGTTTCTTTTTTGTGCCTAATTTTGCAATATGACTTTGCTTTGACCATAAATTAAAAAATCCATCATGTTGATGCTTCTTTTATATTAAAATTCATAGAGTCAGTTAAATTAAGCAACATATAATTTATCCCGGAGAGTAGCCTTGCAATGTATTAAGGAGCATTGCTATTATATTCTTTTATGACAGGGATCTCTGCTCAATCCGAATGTTGCTGACTTTGCAATGTTGTGGTCAGGATACAAATGGTTTATATAAAGCTATGGAAAAAGCAGTTGCTAGAAGCAAGGTAAACTTCGTCCATGTGAATTCTATTTATGGCTTTATACGTTGTTTCCTAGTTTAATTGCAAGATTCTGAAATTTGTATCAAATCCCAAGGAAGAATCGGTGTTAATGGTACAGGATTGTAGTTTTTGCAATGTGCTTGGCGTTGGACATCTTAAAGCTAGTTATTGTGACTACTATAGCAACAAACTAAGCCTTATATCCTCTAACTTTGGGAGGTCATTATGACTACTGTTCACATTAAATTTTGAAAGGTTTATTGTCTGCATCTATTTGGAAGTTCAAGTGGTTTATAAAAAAACAGTTGAAGATTTTTCACATTTCAGTTGTATCGAGCTCTTGATCTAACCATTACAAGATTAGTGCATTTGACAGTTGATCTGTATGTAAATTTATACTTAATGCATTTAGTTTCTTCAGCTCATTACTATTATCTTCCTGTTGGATTCTGATGGAGCTCTCTCACATTTATGTTGCTTGCACTTTTTATTTGCATGACTTCCCCCTTTATGTTAATTATGAATGCCAAAAAGATATTTTAGCCTACGATTCACTGGAAATGGAGGGGTCGTTATCTGGATCTTCGCATTCTCATTCAGCTATAAGTGATACATCAGCAACACAAGAAAAATTCGGAGATTGGGAGATAGTTAGAAGACTTCTGATGATGGGAGAAAGAATTGCATCTGGATCTTATGGAGATCTGTAAGTTCTGTGCTTCGATGAACTAGCTGCTTTTGATATACTCTATTCTTTATTTTCCCTTACATTGCTTAAGTTTCTTCTCATCTTCATCTGAAGGTATCATGGTATCTACTTTGGGCAATATGTTGCTGTCAAAATTCTTAGATCTGAGCATTTGAATGATGCTCTGGAAGAAGAGTTTACTCAAGAAGTGGCAATTCTACGGTGAGAAGCTTTTAGCTGTTACTTTAGAGTTAAGTTATGATTCAAATTGTCTTTGCTACTGTCTGTAATTGTTCTGCTGTTGACTTCCAGTGTATTCTCTCCTAATAACCCCCTGGGACTCACCTACTACACCCACCCACGTACCCAAAAGAAAGAGGTAATGAAAGATAGAACATTTGAATTTGTGAACATTTATGTTTCCATGTTTAAGGTGCTGAGTGTAGGTTCATTTTCCTACAGAATCTTACCTGTCAGAGAGAATTTTACCTGTTCTGTCTGACATCCCAATTAGTCTTTGTAAGCTATATGAGCGAAAACAAGTTGTTGAAATCAAGTCCTAGAAGTAGCTTTGTCTTTGAAGTAATTATGTACATGCTTTTTAGGTTATAAATTTTTACACTTAGCAAGTATTTCTTTACTAAATGATGTATGAGTAACAATATTTTTCCTCCTTGGGAACTTTTTTAGCAAAAAGCATTCCTATATATGCATCTCTTTGTCGTTAAAGAATAGGCAGCTTTCTCTTTAAGTTAAATTGAAATTTAGTTTTATTGAGGATAAATTTATGCTACTAACATATAAAATTGAAATTATATATGAAAATAAGTTTTTCCCTTTCCTTTTCTTCTTAGACCAATAATTTACTTTCTGATATAGGAAATAGGTGTGTTTCAATGCATTTTTATTTATGTAGGACCACTATCGTATGGATATTAATCTTATTTTTCTAGGTTCTTGAGTGCAAAGAGGTGCAGCACAAAAATGTTTTTCGTTTTGTTGGTGCATGTCGAAGTCTCCACATTTGTACATAGTAATAGGTGTGGAACTTCTAAAGAATTAAAGAAGGCTTTCTTTGCAGTTCTATTCTCCCCTATTAATCTATCATCTTGAGTCATCTGTAGAGAAAAGTTTTACTTTATTCTCATTTATTTTGATTAGTAAATTTTATGGAATTGAGAGTGAGAGTGTGACAACATAAAATAGACCGCTAGTTCTAGATATCTTTCACCTTTGGGGGTTAGAGAATACAGCAATCACGAACCACGTATTAAGTGGTGGAACTCAAAAAGGGACAAAATGTTAACTTGTAGGAATGGACTGGTAAAAGAGGTTGATTGGAAGCCTGATGAGGATGTAGAAGTAATGTGGGAAAATATTTCTATTAGAATTCAAAAGGTCACTAAAGAGACACGTGGCGAATCTAGGGGTCATGCACCATTATGAAAGGAATCTTGTTGGTGGAATGAGATATGAAAATGACAATTAAAGCTAAGCGGGAGTCCTATAGGAATTTAAGGTGCAATAGGGATGAGGCGAGTTATCTGAAGTATAAAAAAGCGAAAAAGGAAGCCATAAAGGCAATTCAAAATTCAAAGACTAGGATCCATGAGGAATTATATAGGAAACTAGAGACAAAAGATAGAAAAAAAGAGTTGTTTAAAATTGCCAAGATGAGTGATAAGAAGAGTATGGTTCTTAATGGTGTAAGATGCATCAAAGGCGGTGATAAAAGAGTAAGTGAAGAATGAGGAGATTAAGAAGAGATGGAGAAATTATTTTGATAATCTTTAATAGGAATTTTGAGCATGATATAGGTGGGCTTAACATACCTTTTAAGGATATAAATCGTGTGTTTAAATGGAATATTAAAAGGTATGTTTAAATGAAATATTAAAAGGTATGAGGTTAAAAAGGCTTTGAGAAGAATGAAAGCGAATAAAGTGGTAGTACCAGATGGAATCCCAATTGAAGTTTGGAAATGCTTGGGTGAAATAGGGATAGGATGGTTGATGGATCTTTTCAACAGAATTAGGCATATCCAACAAATGCCAGAAGATTGTAGGAAGAGTACTCTAGTGCCTTATATAAGAATAAAAGTGATATACAAAATTGTTCGAACTATTGAGGAATAAAACTTATGAGTCATACTATGAAACTTTGTGAGAGAGTAGTTGAATGTAGGTTGTGAAATGAGGTTGCTATTTTGAAAATCAATTTGGGTATGCAAGGACGCTCCACAACAGAGGCAATTCACCTATTGAGGCTTTTGTTGGAAGGTTTTTGGGCGAGAAAGAAAGATCTACATGTAGTATTTATTGACTTGGAGAAAGTATATGATAAAGTTTCTTGAGAGTTGCTTTGGTGGGCCTTGATGAATAAATGAGTTCCTTTAAAGTACATTAACATAGTTAAAGATATATATGAAGGAGTTGTACAAAATGTGAGGATGTTTGGGGGCGTGATTGATAACTTTCCCATTGTAGATACTTAATTTTGTCCAGAACGATTTAACACTGTTGATCCGAGCCCTTTTTTGCACATGGCCTAAGAACTATTTTTTGGGCCCATTATATAGCCCTCCTTAGAAGCCCAAAAAAAAAAAACCCATAATGTAGCCCATTGTTATACCCAATTACAAGCAAAAAACGAACCCAAAATTAATCGTTGAGAATGACCCAAAACATGGCCCAAAACAGGCCCTTTTGGAAAAGGAAACCCAAACTAAAAACAACAAAAGAAAAGAAGTTTAAACCCAAATGCAGGCCCAAAAAACAATAAAAAAGAGAGAAATGAGGGGAATTAAGGTTTTTTAGAATGGGACTTTTGGGGACATGATGAAAGAAGACACATGATGCTATGGAAAACAAGAATAAAGTTTTGAAAGCTGGGAGGTTTCTTTGGAAGCCCAAAACCAAGGTAAAATTGAAGGAAGCCCAGCTTAAACTCACCATTTTGCCACATGAAGTCTGTATGCACCAGGAAGACAACTAGCTACAAGCAAGTTGGTCTGCTGCAAAAGAGGTGGGATAGCTTGCTGCACCAGCATAAAAAAAAAAAAAAACCTGCAAAGAAAGAAGACAAGGGTTAGTGGGCTGACATACGTAGTGGAGGAAGAAAAAAGAGAGCTTGGAGTCATTCAGTAGTTTGGGGGAGCTTTAAAAGAAAGGCTTTTGGTTGAGTTAAAAGGGAGGAAAGAGGAGAAAGCATTAAAAAAAAAAAAAAGAGTGATTTTGAGGGAGGAGGTGGTCAATAGAACAGAAGAAAATTGCTAAAAAAGAAGGGTTTTGGGCAGCCATAAACCGAAAGGAAAAAAAAAGGTCTACAGAGTCGAAGAAAAAGGAGGATTTTTGAACAACCATGACTCAGGGAAAAAGGGTTTGAGGAGCAGACAAAAAGAGAGCCAAAAAAGGAGTGAGCTAAGAGTTTTCTCCAACAAAGAAACTAGTTGGTTAGGGAGAAGCAAACAGAAGCAGCTACAAAAACAGAAAAAAAAGGGAAGATTTTGTTAGCTGAAAGGAAAGAAAGCTTGGCCAGAAAAGCAAAGAAGTTGGAATTTAAGAAAAGGTAATTATTTTTTTATTATTCTTCGGGCATCTCACATCCATTGGATAACCCTTATGTTTAACTTGTCTTTGTTGCTTTTCCATGTGAGTTTGGTGTACATAAAAAAGGGTTTTGGATGCTTACTGTAAACAAGGTTAAAAGACACAATCTTTTAAAATGAAAACAAAAACATGTAAAAACCAATAAAGAAAACTAAAAAAAAAAAAACCACAACAAAGAAAGAAAAGTGGATTCCTCTCCGCTCGCACCTCCCTTTAGACACACCAAGATCTTCATGCTCTATTGTTGGACAATGATGGATGATCTTATGATAAGAAAGGACTTTTTTTTTTTGTTAAAGAGGACAACTTCCATAACTCATAATAGAACCAGTCTTTAAATGTTCAACAAGAAACATAAGGGTTATACTTGTTAGACTAAGGGAGGTAGCCTTGTAAAACTGGAAAGGCATTAGGTTCGCGTCTTTGCCTCATTCTATTTTCTTTTGTTTTCAATAAAAAAATTTTCTTTACTTTGTTCCCTTAAAATTTTTTAATAATAATGATTATGAAATAATTAATTGATTAAGATGAAATTAAAATGAGTAATGAAGAAATATAATAAGTAATTTATCTTTTAAAATACATGTATAAATATATGTAATAAAAATAAAATAAAATAAAATAATATTAATATTAAATTAAAAAAAAACCTTTTGTATACATATTGCACTTTATAATTGGCATTGCATAATCTTGAAAATAGTGGGAGTTTTCGATGATGAGACTTTGGGAACTCCGAGTGATGATTCCCGAAAATTCTCTAAATGAAAATTTTGCTAAAATATTGTTAAACTATTTAAATATTTAGAATAATTCTTAATACGAAAAATTCTCGTTTACTTTTCACAATTTAATCCATGTGCATCATTTTTTATATACCAATTATAAAAGTAAACGAAATTTTTAAGGATGATATCAAAAAAAAATTCGAGTAATAATTTTTTGGATATCTCTTGGTAAAAAAATTTATTTAAATGTCGTCAATATATTGGAGCATTTAAAATAATTTTTTGATGAAGATTTCTCATTTTAGTATAAAAAATGAATTTTTAGAAAATATTATTGGAATTTAAATTATACATATCATATTCTACTATGTGTGGTAACTATAAACATTGAAGATAAGTATGAACTATCGAGGATAGGATTTTTGAAAATTTTTAGTAATTTTTTAAAAAACTTTTGGGTGAGAAAGTTCTTTTTAATATTAGCAAAGTATTGAAATATTTTTAGAAATTTTTTAATAAAAATGTTTTTATTTATTTTTTCAACTAAGATAAAAAAATAAAAAAAAAAAATATTTTTTTCTACAATAACAAAGAATTAAAAAATTAATTTTTAAACCCCAAAATTAATTTTTTTTTTGTCAAAATTGAAAGATAAAACATAATTAATTGGTAATCGACTTTTTGAAAGACCTTTTCTAACAGGCGCTGTGGGGCTATTAATTCTTTCCTATGCGTAATCAACTCTTAATCCCAAACTATTTTCATAAACCCAAAATTATTTTTTTAATAAATTTTAATTAGTTTTAAAATTTTTATTAAAAAGGCAAGTATTAATATGACCAATGACACATAACCAAAAAAAATTGTTGGCGACTCTTTTGTTTTAAAATTTTTGTCTAGTAATTCAAAAAATAGTTATGACAGCTTGAGGACTACATTGAGGACGTGATTTTTTAAAAAGTTAGGCCAAAGGTTAATAATATGTTATCTTTAATTTTGATTTAATAATCTTAATTGGTATTTAACCTTAATTTCTTTAATCT